GGTATTACACATCTTGGATTCTCTTAGTTCATTATTAGAGTACCCATAACTCTGCACCACGCTTAGATAGTTACTCATCATGTTAATATTAAGCTTTTATTCTCTTTATTGAGTTGAGAGCTATTGAGACTATCTAGAGGCAATATGTTCTATGATCCAGGTGATATATAGAATTTACCTTGCATATGTTTGATTATTTGAATATAATCTGCAAATTAAGAGTTCTGTTTAATGTTAAAAATAGATAACAATACGGAAGTTACGCACTGCTTACTTGTTCCATTTTTTTTGAAACTGATTAAAATGCTTCTTTCAACTCTTAATATCATGTATGTTGCTTGCTATATAGGTTATAATTTATATTTTTTTTTTATAGTAAATATGATTGTAAATGATCATAGATTCGTGTGGACATAGGGAAGAGTTCTAATGAAGTGTATTACCGATTGAATTTAATTTAGTTAGTATAGATAAATATTCCATATTATAATGTTGTCCTAGAGTCACAAATTTTAGGTTTACTTAGACATTACGAAATAATATCCCACTTTAATCTTTTGATTTGTTATTTCTATCATATTGCTAATGTCTAGAGTTGGGTTTTTATACAATGGAATAAGATACTGTAATCCCGATGATTCATTAGTGTTACAATGTATATACTACAATATTTCAGTAGAACATAAGTTGGCAACAGTTGTCTTAGATAATTATGGATTATATTTATAACTAGTTCATGGGGCACTAGAGTATTCTGAACTGGCGGGAATATACAAATGTATTATTAGATTTAGCTCATAATTGGGATATAACATTGGCAATAAATTAGACTCGTAAGTGTCTATAGATATCGTATTTAAAAATTTAACTTCTTAAGAAAGAATGAATGGTGGATTGTTAAGACTATGTGTGAGAGATTCTGGTTGTTAGTAATATGTATTGATTTCGATAGAATATTGTGTATTTGTGTGTCTACGTTAGTCCATTTATCAGGATTTCGTAGAATGTAGTCCTATAAAGAAGGATGCACGATGTTACGCGGCAAAATCAGTAAAAAATATTTGAAATCACTTTAAAAGCATGAAATAAAAAGAAAATTTATTTGTTTTACATATAAGATTGAAATATATTTCATTCGCGAACACCAGCTACGCCACTCGTGAAAATATTACATCTGGTGTTCACTCAGTGAAATATATTTCAAAGAAACAAATATCCTCTATATGTCAATTAAAATAAGCCACGCTTTACATAATATTATATATTATTTTGATGCAACTTATTATTTTAAACATAAAATGTGGTGTATGAATTCATAATCTAGAGGTAAAAACAAATCGTCACCCATTGTAGCTTACCAAAACACACTTAGTTTGATTCCCTGTGATCCGCCTCATTTTATTCTCCGAACCATCTGTTATTCCGACAAAATCATCGGAACTTAGTAACGTAACTATGACCTGTGAATCAAATTGATCTCACATGAAATAGACTTTAAAAATGCATACCAAAGATTTATTTGTGGTAAAGATTTTATAACAGGTATCGAGGGAAATTGTAAACCGTTGAGTGGATCATTTGCTTAAACTATGCTATAATTATTTGTTGCATAAAACATAATTGAAACTTACTAAACTTAAAAAAAATTTAAACTTAAAAGATAATAAATATTTCAAAATATATTGGCAATAGGAATTGACCATACATTTATAATTTACACAAAAAAGTATTGTAACATCATATACAATAACGATGGTCCGTATTTTGAATGGAACGTAAATTTATATACATTTCTTTTCTTACAGCAAGGTATAAAATTTAATATCGATTATATTTGTTTTTTTTTCTTTCAAGAAAAAGTTGCATCAGTTGCAAATAAAATTTTGGAAATTTTTAGATAGTGTACGAAAATGTTAGAAAAACTCAAACCTACATTATAGTCTTTATCAAGTTTGTTGAAAATATTTGCCTGGACGACTGCAATCTCATTTCTGACGATGGAATATGGCAATTGAGCTTTTATGAAAAATGGCAATAGCGCCGTCATCTGTGAAATCGAAAATTGTAAGTAGTTATAAGGGAATGTATTGGTTTGTATAGTTTATACAGTGCACCATGTTAACCTCGGAAGAGGAGGAAATTGTCACGAATTCCTTGCATAAAGAAGGCAGTAGTAGATTCAGGAGACTTCCATTTTGTGTTGAACCATGCTTACCATAGAACAGAGTGGCAAACGCACGTGACTTTTGACAACATGTCCAAAAGTAAACTTTTTAATAGTTTTGATTCAGGTAGTTTTTGTTAATTTATGTTTTACTTTTATACAGTTTTCATAAACAATTTATTTATTTAACGTGGACCCATGTGCACTTATGAAATGTATGGCAACGTCTAGATTAGTTGAACGCTGTAAAGAAAGATAAAGAAAAGAAAAACGTTTTAAATAAACAGCTGAAGTCAATTGCTTTGCTTCACCCTTCATCATTTTTGTTGATTCAGAAAGATTGAAATAAAATTCTCTATATATCCCATTAACTAACTTTATGAAATAGCGGTAAACTTCACATATTGATTATTTTAAACGCTGCAGCTATGTGGATAAAACATGCGTATGCAAATGAACAGAGGGCAAGGGAATAATTAGTCAAATGCTGAAGAAGTAGCATGCTTCAATTAGAGGTTAATACTTGGTTGCTGCTCACCATTATGCGATAATTGCGCGAAGATGTGCATAATGGCCTGAGGACATTATGAACTCGAGAGTCGTTGTCGTATAATGGCGAGCAGCATGTATGTATGTAGTTAAAGCTTAATGAGGGTCCATCCGCCCTTTCGGGCACAAAATGCAGCTTGCGCTGTCGAGTACGGACCCCGGACATGTCACCAGTCATGTCCTTAAAGAGTTAATTTTGAAGCACAAAATGGTGATAATTTACCTCCATGCAATTTCCACGGAGTATTAGCCAAAGATATGAATTTTGAGCCGAAAAGTAGGTCACTGTACGGCGGTCAATGAGAACCTAAATGTACAGTAACCAGTGACAATAGGAAAGGTGTTTAGCCCTGAAAAGGGCTGTTGGTGCCAGCTATAGGCCTGCCTTCCAAGCCGACACTCTCTGTGCTAGGGGCTCACGCACCCTAGCACATTTTCATTATCGTCCCTACTTGGTGGCCACTCCCCTCGGCTTTAGTCAGGACATCGGCAGCTGGTCCGCAGAAGTGACGAAGTAGGAGTTCCGTAGTTACCGCCCACGGTTGAAGGCAAAATTTAAGTTGTCTACCAGCCAAGTTGTAAATCTTCTGCCGATGCCCTGTGCCTTCTCAGCGACGTGCACGCTCCGAGGGGAAGTGAGAAGGAATCATGGCGAGCAGCAACCAAGTATTAACGTCTTTATATGTCCGAAATACGGCGTTTAGACATCTCCGCTAATCTTGGCTGTCGCCCTTTCTAAGAAACGGACAGTTGTCAATGTAAACAAATATTTTTCATAGTGTACAGTTTAACACTCGGATTAACTTAGAAACATGATAGATCTAACACAAAATAAATATGAGAAAATTTTGTTTTATGGTTGTTTTTTTTATCGATAAATACAGCACTCTTTACATTTTTTGTGAGAACTACATTTTGATGTAGTGCCAGTTTTTTATGAACTTTTGTGCTTTTAAGACTGATGTTTAGGTTTAAATGCCACTGTTGATCCCGATCTTTTTTTTTTCTTTTTAACTGTCCCAAATTCCTTGAATTTCATTTTTTGGGAAATGTTTCCCCCGAGGGTAAACAAATTTATTGGTCTTTGTGAAAAAAAAGTTTAAAATCTTTAAATTTTTTATAGCCTTTTTGCTTTGATTTCGCGAATTTAAAATTTAGAAATGTTTTTCCATTTTTTAAAAATTTTTTTATTAAATATTTTTGGTTAAAAATGCAAGTGGGGGAACAACAGTTTCACTTCAATCAGTTCAGAAACCCCATTTTGGGAAACGCCCACTAAAAAAAATTTTTTGGGTTTTTACTTTTTTCCTTTTCAGGGTTCCCCTCATTCACTCCCCCCAAATTAAAAAAAGGGAAAAAAAAAATTGCCAAGAAAGGCCCAAAAGGCCCCGGCCCCAAAAAATTCCCCATAAAAAAAATTTTTTAAAAATTTTTCCCCCCAAAAAAAAGGGGTTTTTTAAAAAATTAGGGCCTTAAAAAAATTTTGGGTTATTTAATTTTTTAAGTAAAAAAAATGGTTTTTTTAAAACCAAGCTTTTTTAAAAAAGGTTTTCAGTTTTTTTTTCCCCAATTTTTTAATTTTTTATCGGGAAAATTTCGGTTTTTTTCCCCCCCCTTTTTTTTAAAGGGGGCCCCCCCTTTTTTTTAAAATTTTTTTTTCCCCCTAATTAAATTTTAAAAAAAAATATAAATTCCCAATAGCAAAAAAAACAAAAATTCCCCAAATTTGTAAAATTAAAAAAAACCCTAAAATTTAAATTTAAGATTCTGGGTTTTTCATTTCAAAAAGGTGAAAAAATTTTTATTCAAAAACATTTTTCCTTTAAAATTTGGCCCCGGGGAAAAAAGGTGAAAAATTTCCAAGACCAGTTTTTCTCTTTAAAAGACCCAAAAAGGGGGTTGGAAAAACATTTTTCATTTATAGTACCGGGTTTATTTTTTGACGTTTTGAGAAAGTCCCCCCGTTCCCCCCCCTCTTAAACGGGAGAAAAAACTTATTGTAAAAATAAAAATATCTATTGAAAATGTCCTAAAAAAAAAATTATTCATGAAAATATTTTTCAAAATAAAAGGTATGCAGTTATTTACTGTATAAATTTTAACATTTTGTCGTTCACATTTAAATAGACGATGTGATAAGAATATCACAATAAAAAAGGTAAAAATAATAAATAAATAAAACCACGAACAGAATAAAAGAAAGGTAAAAATAATAAATAAATAAAACCACGAACAATTTACTGCACCATAATAATGTATTGTTGTTTGTTAGCTTTAAATAACTAAATGAGATATTTTAAAATGAAAATCTTACACAGCTATTTTCGAGTCCCACATCCATGTTTCAGGAAAGTATTGTCTTACTTGTCCTTGTGCAGCAGCTGGTGGTGCTGCTGACAAACCCACATCTGCATTACTACTCGAGAACGCCAAATTGTATCTATCAGAATAACCACTCGACTCTCCTAAATCGTACCTCTCTGAAGACATATAAAGGTTAAGACTAGAACTCCGCGAGTCGGATGTGTCGCCTTGTGAACAATGTAGTTTAGGAGAAATGGCCAGGACAAAAATGAAATAGGAAAAATAACAAAGGGCAATAACTAAAAAAATAATAAGTGCAGAGCAGCAGTTTCTGTACACTGCACTTCTTATCAATAAGATATATCATTCTATGATGTTTCAAGTCCATAGCTTTCATACTTGAGGAGAAATGACCAGGACAAAAATAAAGTACTAAGAAAATCAACAAAGGGCAATAACTCAAAAAATAAGAAATGCAGAGTATCAGTTCTTATGCACTGCACTTTTTCTTAATGAGATCTATCATCCTATGAAGTTTCAAGTCCATAACTTTTATACTTTCGGAGAAATGGCCTGGACAAAAATTAAGTATGAAAATTAACAAAGGGCCATAACTAAAAAATTAAGAAATGCAGAGTACCGATTCTTGTGCACTGCACTTCTTCTAAATGAGATCTATCATCCTATGAAGTTTCAAGTCCATAGCTTTTATACTTAAGGAGAAATGGCCCGAACAAAATTAAAGTATGAAAATAAACAAAGGGCAAAAACTCAAAAATAAGAAATGCAGAGTACCTGTTCTTGTGCACTGCACTTCTTCTTAATGATCCCTATCATCCTTTAAAGTTTCAAGTCAATGGCTTTTATACATTAAGAGAAATGGCCCGGACAAAAAAAGTATGAAAATTAACAAAGGGCAATAACTCAAAAATTAGGAAGTGCAGAGTACCGGTTCCTGTGCACTGCACTTCTTCTTTATGAGATCTATCATCCTATGAAGTTTCAAGTCCATAGCTTTTTTAGTTGAAGAGAAATGGCCCGGACAAAATTAAAGTATGAAAATTAACAAAGGGCAATAACTCAAAAAATAAGAACTGCAGAGTACCGGTCCTTGTGCACTGCACTTCGGGTTATTGAAAGAAGCATGCATACCAAGTTTGAAGTCAATTAGACTTATAGTGACTGAGTTATGCTCCGGACAAGGGGACGCCGACAACGACGCCGCCGACACAGACGCCGCCGACGCCGCCGACAAAAGTAACCCCTATATGTCACCTTTTGAAGGCGACACAAAAAAGCATGACTAAGAACTTATGTGTAAGCCTCAAAACGCCTGGATTTTATGCCCTCCTGGGGTTTAAACAAATATCACAAGTACTGTTTAATTGGGACATAAGCTATTAGACTTCTCTTCGATCAAGCTTAAACACAAAGTTTTACTCTGATGAAGATTTAGAAAATCAAAATCTTATAAGACTCACTTATTATTCAATATTTTTTTTTTAAATAATTGTATGCCTTCTGTCATACGGTTAAATATGTTTCTCATGCATGCCAACATTTATCATTTTAGTGTTTAGACAATACATGATTTTAGTTTTTTAAGAGAAAACATATGACTAGATTGTGTCTCCTTTCAGAACTTTATAACACAATAAGTGGTCTTCGCTTTTTGTCTAAACGATTTAAATGTGATGCAATCCGCTACATCCGACAAAGCGACATTCATTCTTGAAAGTGCTTGACGCCGTTAATAAAACCAGTTAGTTACAATTTTATTTGTATACAAGCTAGACATAATTTATAGTTTACTTCCTATGTAATTTATATATACATATACTCAAATATCAAATATGAGGATTTTTTTTTACAATAGATAACTATGTATTAAATAATTACATACGTGACCAAATGTTAAAGCTGTATAAATAAGCATCTGTGAGAACTCTGATCTGGGCATTCTGGAAGACAATGAAAGACAGTTTGCCAAAATCATTTTATCAGTTATCTAAATATGCTGTTGTATAGTTATTACCTTAATTGTAACGATTACTCTTTATAAACGTTATTTGTCAGGTAAAATGAAATAAAATTTGCAAATATTAAATATTTCATCAATGTCTATAAAAAATAATTTGATAATAAAATACCTTAAGTAAATGTTATTGACATTTAAAATGTTTTCTGTAATTTCAAATTTTTCTTACTTTACAGTTAAATATTATGGGAAAAAATGCAGGAAGCAGGTAATGAATCAACTATCTAGTCAGGTTCACTTTCTATCAATCCTCACAGTCTTACGTATGGTAAATAGAAATACTAATATATTAATATACAACGTCTTTGTTTTACAATTAGATAAGTATGGTCCTTTATAACTTACGTTAAAAATATCTGAAGCATCATCAGCAGTAAATGACCATGGTAGGATAGGTCCCCAATCTCTCCATGTTCTAACAAGATAACCAAACTGGTACATTTCATCAACCACCTGAAGTCAGAGAAAAGACGAGTTAAATTTTATTTTGCTCGATGTCAAGTTGCTTGATGTAAAAAGCGTATTAAAGCTTGATAGATACTCTTATCAACAAAAATACCAAGAATTTAAGTCATAATGGAAATAGCTCGACCATTTACACACTACTTCAAGATCCCCATTGGAAAAGTGATCCCGATACTTATGGAAGTAAATGTATGCCGGTTTTGATATTTGCTATACATTAAAAAACAAAATGCGCCGAAAGCATATTAACAAATAAAATGATTATCATTATACGAGAATATGCGCGACATTTGCATAAAATATGGTAAGAAACTAAAAATCTGGAAACAAAGTGACCCCTCGAAAGCATTAATCACAACAAAATTACACGAGAATTGCAGACTCGGTTTGATTGAGTCTGTACATGAGGAATAATGAATACGTGCAACATCCCTCACGCCCCCTAACACCGGCTTGAGCGGTACTCAATTCTCAACACTTAATAGTGCTGGCATCAATGATCCCGAAGGACCAGAAAAATATAACAACACTGAAGTGAAGTACGGGGCAATTTTTTACAGCTGCCACACAGCACTTGAAACCTGCTGTTGTGAAGTATAAAAATCTGGAAACAAAGTGATCCCTCGGAAGCATTAATCACAACAAAATTACAAGAGAATTGCAGACTCGGTTTGATTGAGTCTGTACATGAGGGATAATGAATACGTGCAACATCCCTCACGCCCCCTAGCACCGGCTTGAGCGGTACTCAATTCTCAACACTTAATAGTGCTGGCATCAATGATCCCGAAGGACCAGAAAAATATAACAACACTGAAGTGAAGTACGGGGTAACTTTTTACAGCTGTCACACAGCACTTGAAACCTGCTGTTGTGAAGTACAAAAATCTGGAAACAAAGTGATCCCTCGGAAGCATTAATCACAACAAAATTACAAGAGAATTGCAGACTCGGTTTGATTGAGTCTGTACATGAGGGATAATGAATACGTGCAACATCCCTCACGCCCCTTGTACCGGCTTGAGCGGTACTCAATTTTCAAAACTTAATAGTGCTGGCATCAATGATCCCGAAGGACCAGAAGAATATAACAACACTGAAGTGAAGTTCGGGGCAACTTTTTACAGCTGCCACACAGAACAGAAGTCAACTATATATAAAAAACAATATTTGTGAAACAAATTTACCCTATTTGGTGTAATGTCATTGCCTTCCTTAAGTAGCTTAACACTTTTATCTACAGCAAGAACTTTAACCATCGAATCAGGGTCAGCTTTAACAACCAGGTCTAATAAGGCTTTTGGTTTTTGTGGAGACGGCTGAGCGAATTGAATAGTTACCTGCAGAAACGAAATAACGTTATAACAAACAACATTGAAGAATAGTTTTTATTGCTCTGAAGTTTAAAAACGATAGTTGCGTAATAAAGTTTTACATACCAACACATATGAATGAATTAAATGACAAAAAAAGATAACAACAAAGAGCAAAACAAACAGTACAATAAACTGTAGAATTTTAGAGTCTGATAATAATGCATATAGTATTCTAATTGATTAAATGGAAAACAATTAAAAGAAAGCACAAGTCGCTACGTGATACTAATATAACGTTTGATAAATACATTTAAGACATAGTTTTGTTTGTTTGTTTCATTTTTTCCGCCCTTTCCCAAACGTATTTCAGTAATATTGGCGGGTAGTTTCCTAACCATCGTTCCTGGAGAGTTACACCAGTACTAGACTACCTTCCTCCGCGCTAAACTACCAAAGCTTCTCCCGGGGATCGAACCCACTCCGGAGAGGTAACTGGATTAGAAGTCATCGACTCTAACCCATCGATCACGGAGGCGGTACTAAGACACAGTTAACAAATGATTGAACACAATAGTCACGAGTTATTTATATTACGTTTGATAATTATACGACATATAAAGACAAAATTAACAAATGATTTGACTTACGGACCATGAGTACAAGCATTTGACTATTAAGAAATAAAGCTATGATATTATAGTTGCATATAGTTTTGTTGTTTATGAGATCTGACTATTGTTTGTACTTACGCCTATTGTTTCTTTTCTGTAAACAATTAGAAATATACCTTATTTTCGAATATATTCTCGATGAAAACATTTAGACCGTCAGCTACAATTTCACCATCAGGTTTTACATAGTAGGCAATAAAACGCGCTGAAGGAGTCATATCCCGTGTTAGTTTGAACTGAACCGTTGCTTTATTCGGGTTTACACCAACAATTACATCAGAACTGTCAATTATAACACCCTTTGACAATATCTACAACCATAAGTTTTAAAGATAATACTAACTGAAATTAAAACGATGATGTGCATGATAATATCTATGTTCAAAAATGTACAACTATTTCATTATTGACAAATAGTCTAACAGTTCTTCTAAAAAGCGAAGTTTAATTATCTGAACAAACATTACAGGAAACACATTAACAATTACTGTTATGATATCGTAAAAAAGTAAACAGAAATTTTGGTTACCGTTTGATAAAATACTTAATGCAAATCAATCAAAAGTATTTCTTGAAATTACAACACCTTGCGTAGTTTGGTACTGATAGCGGTATTTTCTACATATTATTCAACTTACACCTACGTTTATCAGTGAACCAATCAATATCAAAAAGAACATACCATCCAATAAATTTTCATTCCCCCGATTGTACTGTCAATTTCCATTGTGACAAAGTCGTTAATCTAAAACAAATAATGTGCATAATAAAGAGAATATTGAATATACTGACTAGTGTTTAAATATTTCAACACACAAACAATCTCCCTCTGAAATATGAGAGATCACAACTAATAAATATGGACAGTTTTCTTAAATCACGTTGTACGAAGAAAAGAAAAAGATGTAGGATATTCAAGAACGCAGATAAATGCAGAGGAAAGCAATAATTTATTAAGTACATTTTTATAAACTTTTAGACACATATAAATATACCTTTAATGAAGACATGGCATTTGCGTTCAACATTCGAATTCTAAGAAAATTGTTGGTTGGTGATCTGAATCTGCTCACTTCTTTAACAGCAGTTACTCCAGAGTATTCAGCCTACATAAAATAGTCAAACTATCAATGTAAACGTTTTCAGTAAACTTTTTACATTAAACATTTATGAATAAGTATCAAGAATTGCAAATATTAGAAAAGAAAGCAAAAGGAAGCTAGGAGGCATCTTTGTGACCTTTGATGACTCGGTATCTATGATGTTTTCAAATTTTAAAAGAAGTTCATTAATGTTTTTAACATGACAGGACTGGAACTTTTTTTTCGAGATTGATGCTATATTTGATGCAAGTCTAAATACATGTTTACATACTTTAAGATCACCAGCTTTCTCAGCTTTTTTCCTTTTACTCTTTTGCTCTAGCTGATCTATGTCAGAAATTCAAATTAATATATTTAATGATTTTAGGCTTTTGTACTTTATTTTAAATTCTCTTGTGAAAGAAACAGTCAAAATGAATTCGCCAAAAACCACGAAAATGAACAAAGATAATTTGCAAGATGCTATGTCCTCGAGCTGCAAAGTATTATTTTTACCCAGCGTCTTTCAAATTTCTATTTGAAAGACCCTGTTTTGAAAAAGAAACAACAACATTAACTTTAAACAAAATTTTCGTAATTTATTCTTACATAATACATTGCATAAAAATAAATTAAGGATTGAGTAGCAAGTTTTATTGTTAAAAATAAGGTAAAATAAAAAGTCTCTCTGCGAAATAAGTTGTTTTTTTGGTATATACCGGTATTCATATTATTATCATGGTTACACGTTTAAAATAGAATAAAAATTGTGTTCCGCAATGATTTTCGTATAATATTGATAAACTTTCTCAAAAACGTCACTGTCAGTTTGTTAAAAAAAGTGAGTGTCATTTATTTCTATCGATCTACCTGTAAATGTACATTGTTTTCAACCACCGATTATTTAGATAAATTTGAATGTACATTTTAGTTGCTGAAACATTTCAGAATGCGAATTAAACTAACAAAAATAAATAAATAAATAAATAATTAAATAAATGTCAACACTAACTAATGTTCTTCTACCATGATTTTTCATACAAAACGTAAAAATCTCTTCATATGATATTTTAGGAAAACTCCCTTCATACGTTACCTTCAATGTTTTTTTAGTAAAATAAAAGTGTCTAATACTTCAAATACAGAAATCGTTACCTTTATTGAAAACGTGGCAATATTGGATGGAATGGGTAATTCAAACTTTATTGACCCGTCCGCTCCAATTGGGTAGGTCTTCGACTTCTTTAATACAACTTCACCGTTGATGAATGGGCAGATAAGGGAATAATTAGCAAATGATATTCGGTTTTCTATCTGTCCGATCACTGGTTCATCAGTAAAGAAGGTAAAAGTAAACCTGACAGTTTTGTCGTCTGTTGGTTTAAGTTCAGGTGGGCTACCATCTTGCATCTTAACCTTTGCCTATATATACGATAAAAACAATCAGTTTTTTCTGTACAAAATCTGCTGTGGTCATAGTATTATTTTTACAATATGTTTGCTTTTAAAATTTGGTTTGCTGATCATAATCTTGCAACTACATAATAAGGTAAAGAAGCAGACGCTTGTTTTGGTTGAGTCTATTATATTTATATTTTGAGGGTGAGTTGTAATACACACATTTACAATTTTTATGCATTTATCATTTTGCAATGATTTTTATTATTTTTAATACTTCTAAGATTGTTGTATAAATTTATTTGTACATGCAATTGTTATATGGTCGATTAACGGCATACTTTTAATGAAAATTAAATAACTTCACATCTTAATGTGTATTGATAACGTGATGGATTCAGCCAATGACAAAACATCAACATAGTCGGGCAGAGAAAAAGTTTGAAAAAAGTAAATAATAATCTTTATGTAGCAAACAAACTAATTTTGAATTGCAAGTATTGATTTCATATTATATTTTCGGCAGAAGAAACTGTCCGAGGAGGGCCAGGCATTTTCGTATCGTAAGATGGCTGCCGGTACAGTATCACGTGATTATCCCAAGCATCATCGCGACTTAACGCGGGAATTATGAATATAGCTAACCTAGGCACGTCGCATAGGATAGGAAATACCTTTTTATGTTTATTTGTGATAAATTATTACAAACCGTATCTTTTTGGTTTTATTGGATCAATCGATAATAAATAATGACGTTTTTTTGTAAATAAATGATAATTTCTCAAAACTGTGACTATGATTTTCAATGAAATTCTATACCTTTCATATATTTGAATGGTTTTTAATGCTCTGGAAGATTGAACAAGAAAGAATAAAGATCGTGTCCGTGTTAGGTATGTTTGACCAGATTTACGAGTTCAGAAAACAAAGAAATACCCGGGAAAAACGGGTTTTTATTATTTATATTTCTATTTCTGTGGGTTTGCAAGATTTTCATATGGTCTGTTCAGTGGAAGACTTAAAATTTTGTGTTAATGTTTTAAAGCAATTAATTGGTCATGCTCTGTTCTTTTCTTGAAATCACTTTCCTCATCAGAAGGCATGAAACTTTAATATTATGATACATTCATTACATTCCGTGAAAACGTTTAAAAATATAAAATATCTGATGATATGTTTGTTAATTTTATATAACACCTTTCATGCAGCAAGCATAAAAAGTCTTCACAAGAGTTAGTATGCAATCGTACCTATATTACATACGAATGTATGTAATATTTTTCTTGTTTATTAATAATTTAATTCTCGATCTTTTATGAAGTTATGTGTTTAAAAACTCTTAGACTCCAAATCAGTTGTTGAGGCACTTTTTGCTATTATATATCAATAAACTATCATCATGAATATATACCACTATAATTGTTTTATATTGTTGTTGTTGAATATCATTGTAAACAATTTAAAATATATCATTTCTTTGCATCCATGCAAAAAACAACAACAACAACAAAATCTTATTGTTTTATGTATAGAATTGAACGAACTAAATGATGTACGTTAATAAAATGTTATATAAATTCCTAAACAACTTACAGACACTTTGTAAGGATCAAATCCAGGTTTGAAGTTATCTGCCATATTTGGGAAGAATTCAAGTCTGTATTGGTTGCTATGGTAACGAATTTCCCCCTCCCCTTCTAAAGTTTGTCCAGTCATTGTCTCAGTACAATTTGCATGGACCAGAAACGTCTCGTAATCAAGTTCGTCGTAAATCAAAGTTTTAACTAGGTCTATTGGTACGCTGAATGTAGCTTCTCCATTGATCTACAAATATATCATTGCATTCAAAGTTACTATTTTTAAAATGGAAGGATAAAATAGCAATTTGAATATATCCTTTATAATAGTTAATATGGTTTTCATTTGTTTTATATTTTCCATTCATAGACAGTTGAAAAAGGAGGAAATTGTTTTTTACAAAAATAAATTTGGTCGGATATTTCATAGATATTTCGAATTGTTTAGCATGGCATGTTTGTTCACCTATTTGCCGATTTCTTAGAAAGTATATTCTTCATGGATTCTTTTTTATTCGAAATCAAATTTGATTTTCTTAATTATAATATGAATATACACTGTACAGTAAAATTAGTTCATATCCTTTTCGTTTTATCGTTAATATTTAATTGCTTTATGTATTGAAATAAATTGTAGTTTGCATATTGTAAAAATAGACTTTAAATCTTGCCCGAATAACATCATATTAACATGTCAACGGAAGCGAGTGTATTATGTTTAGACCTTATGTACTTAAAACTGTTCTCTTTCATACACAACCAATAATAGAAACATATTTAATTAGATATGAATAACTCATTCCTTGTTATAGAATAAAAGACGATTGCTACTTCAGAGGATACGATAGTATCATATTAAATTATAATTTATACAAACCAGAGTGAGATCCCTTCTCACACCCTTTGGGTGATAGAAACCCGATTCATATCGCTTCCTAATTGTGAGAACGCATGTCCCGGCAACTGGGTCCCCAAAGGTATACCTGAACATGTAAAACATGACAAGAGTAATATGAAACCTTATCTAAATACAAATCATCGCACATCAATACTTAATTTGAACAAGAGCACCGCATGCATTGTTAACGCTCGTCTGTAAAGAAAACTCACAACCAGTAACCAATTTCAATAAAGTCTATAAATTTAAAAGGGACATAACTCCTATTAAGTATTGCGTTCAGGATAATGTTCCATGCCTTACAACTGTGCCTTGTCATGACAATAAAGTATTACAAGTTTCAAGTCGATATGTTTGATAGTTTTGAAATCATATACGTATGATAAGCAATTTTGACAAAAACTAGAAATGTTTCCATAAGACACGGATGCCCCCACAAGCAACTGTTCTGTCAATCTTATGACTCTAGGTCAAATATTTTTGGACTACATGTGCCACAAGTTGAAAACTAAAAATCAACAAAGGGCCATAATTCTGTTAAATTTGGTCGCAGCAAAAATCCCTTCCTTAACTACCATCTACACATTAAGGTTATTCATCCCTGGAAGTTTAAGCAAAATCTGCCATCCGGTTTCCGAGGAGTTGCGTTCACAAAATTTCTACATAGTATAGAGTGAAAAGATTAACAAAGGGCCATTTTACTGTTAAATTTGGTCGCAGCGAAAATTCCTTCCTTTACTACCATCAGCACATTAAGGTTGTTCATCCCTGGAAGTTTAAGCAAAATCTGCCATCCGGTTTAAGAAGAATTGCTTTCACAAAATTTCTACATAGTATATAGTGAAAAGATTAACAAAGGGCCATTATACTGTTAAATTTAGTCGCAGCGAAAATTCCTTCCTTTACTACCATCTACACATAAGGTTGTTCATCCCTAGAAGTTTAAGCAAAATCTGCCATTCGGTTTAAGAGGAGTTGCGTTCACAAGATTTCGGGAAGACGGACAGACGGACGGACGGACAAGTGCAACGCTATATGCTCCCACTTTGTGGGGGCATAAAATATCTAAAGTGCAAAAAGACATAAAAATAGCTTTCAGATTAATGCATCTTGTCTTTCAACTGTGCCTCGTCGTGCCAAACACATGCATGTATTCCAATATTCATTTTGATATCTTTCTTACATAAAGTCATTCAACTAGATAGACAATTTTAAAATAATTCTAAAAAGTTCTATACATGGTTTAGTCAATTTTGAATAAGGTCATTATAGCAAAACAGACGAGCTAATATTATTATGTCGAACCTATGGTCAGGCTGAGCATCATATTGTTTATAAGTACTCTTAATATTACCCGTTTAGCGTAAGTCATAAGCAAACGAAACTGTTTTAAATATAGAAAAAATCATTACTTCGCTGTAGCTCTTCCGTTTAGAGAGGTGTCCGTTGTCCTTCCAAATGCATCTAGCTCCACGCTCACTTCAAACTGGGGAAGCACTGAAATTCAAGTCTAGATAAATCACCCAGAGACAAAAAGGCTTATACATATGTTTTTAATATGATAAAAAGAACAATATGTGCTTCACTGAATTTACTTTTATTAACACATATTATACATGCATATACCAGCAAAATCACCGAGCAATATTATGCGTTAAAATTATTTTTGTACATTCATTATCATTGAATTATCATGAATCATTGAATGACTAACAATTTCTACGATCATTTGACAGCCAATATCTACGCCATCTAGAATTATGCCAAATTGAATCGTCTTTTATTTGAAGCTATAGAAAACATATGTACTGGCTGATCAATTAAAATGTTTCTTAGCAAAATCATGTGTAAATGGCACAAACGAAGTAAAGTTTTATGCAGATTTAATAAACATTTACACGTTGTAGAATGGGATGCAAATATCTTCAACAGAAACTAATTGTCTTTGATTTCCTCTTTTTTAAAATTTTATTTGCTTAAAAAATAAAAGGACAACTTTACAAATTGAACAACTTATCATGCCATTAACATAGATTTGGGTGTTCACGTCATCTTTATACATTAACTGAACAATAACGTCTTCTTCAGACTTTACATATTATCGGAATAAACTTACCGTATTTTTTCACTTCAAAGTAAAAGTTTTCGCTATCGCCAGGTTCCTTTGTTGAAACAGAAAAATACATTATTTAATTAAGATCTAAGTTACTATGAAATATGATAGAGTGCATCTTTATTGGTGATGGTTTTGTTATAATTTGTGTCAATTGGCCATCCACTTAAATAGTATATGTTTGATTCATTGAATTATACTTTTCTATACTTATACTTTTTATAACCGTTACAAACATCCTTAGTTAAATTATTCTAATCATATTTGTACAATCAGTGGTGCTGAATGTATGGCGTTAGTTATAATGCCGCCGCTTCCATTGAATATTCACGGTAAGAACATTTAAAAACGAGCCATGTTCTTTTCACCTTGACAATAATCTTGACTTCTCACCGAATGATGTGATCCGATGGTTGTTTTATTAAGATAGTTTCAAACTTTTATATTACAACAATGCGTATATACATTTGTACACATCAAACTTGAACAATATGTATTTATTATTTAATTTGATATTCTGATAGTTCCACAGAGAACTGCAAATGATATTGGTTCTAGAAAGTTTTCATTGTTTTCATCATTAAATGTTAACTTTGAAATGATTAGTCATGTGCATATGAAATAATGCAGTTGATAACTTAGACTTATTCATTAAATGAAACAATGTGCTAACCAGGCCAAAATTCAATTAATTATTTTTTAAAAATGTAATAAAATGATAAATAGCATTCAGTAATATACTCGTAGAAAATTATCATCAAATTGTGAATATTTGTTGAGTTTTTTCTTATTTCCTCATTTATTGCTAAGATTATTGACTTGTTTTTTTAAATGACATAATATGATCTATGAAACAGCATGCCTCAAGAGTCATACTTATGTTCAAAAAAATTAGAAAATGTATAAAAATACATATGTCATGAAAAGTCGGTCATAAATTACATATACCATAGAAATTATTGCTTTTATCTTGAATCTCTTTACTTTTCTTAAAATCTCCGTACTTTTTTCTCAAGTTTGATTTTCTTGAAATACTTTTTGTTAATCTGGAGGCGTGCAGCTTTAATTGTATTGACGTATTTTTGAATATTTATTTGAAATTGTTTTAATGCACATCGGATGTAAAAGTCTAAGTTAAACAACAACTAGTGAGTTGTCGCTTACATTTGATTTGACATATATCCTCCAATTGCCAAGCATTGGTAATGTTGGTAACTGAAGATAACCACTTATACCGAACTTGTTTCTTACCCCCACCAGTTCATCTATCTTATTTCCTTTAGGGTTCTACAATATAAATAAGATATTGATATGTGTAAAAGAAAACATGTAAAATTGTATTTATCAAAATAAAGAAAATGTTAATTTTTCTACAGATACAAAAAAATAACAACTTTAAAATATTATACAACCACACAAATAAACAGGATCTGTATGTTTTTGAAGTTGCATCACATACCGATTTCAATAAAGGAACTTACTAAGTAGAATAATGAACTTGAATATAAAATGCATTAAGAGGTGTTTCAACACCAAACAAGATTGAATTTGTGAAAAATGCTATGCCACCGCATTAATACAACACTAAATAGTAGTGTAGGAACAGATTGTTTTTGTTTCTATACAATTGAAAATTGTCATAATGCATTGATCCCTGACCTATCTAATTCTTATTATTAGATTAGTGGATAAATATATTGATATTAAAATAAAATATCAGAGTAGGAATATATAAATGCTGTTGAGTCTAGTGAATTTAGTGGTGAAGGTCATATTTCACACAGCCTAAATTTCATGACTACATCAAGGGACAACACTGTAAGACTATTTGTCAAAATCTAGGTCAGCTGATTTCAAAGTTCACTTTACATCTAAATCTAAGCACAAGGTTCAAATTTCATAGCTGTACATCAGAGGACAAGAAAGTAGGTCACATTATCAAAATCTAGGTCACCTGATATCAAAGTTCAATTTTATAACTAAAACTGTGCACATGATCAAATTTCATTGCTGTACATCATAGGACAAGAAAGTAGGTCACTGTCCGCTTGGGCAAGGCAAAATTTTGACCAAAGGGTTTAATTCAAAACAATCTTGGTACAGGTCCACCAAACAACATTTCCCCCAGGGCTATTATTTGAACAATCTTGGTAGAGGTTCACTTCGAAAAGTCTCATGCCAAATATTTAACCTCTAGCCTTTGTCAATTCAGAGAAATAGATTTTTCAAGTTTTACTTTATAAATATAAGGAAAACTATCGCCTCTGGGGCATGGCAATTTTAACACTAGGGGCATAATTTAAAGAACTTTAGTAGAGGACCCATAGATGATATTATATACCAATATCAAAGCTCTTAGCCTTGTACCTTCAGACAAGAAGTTTTTAAAACATTTTACTATATGTACATAGTGAAAATCAATGACTCCCGGGACGGGGGCCAAATTTGTCCCTAGGGCTATAATTTGTACAATCTTGCTACTTGCTGGTTTACTACACAATGATTCATGCAAATATCTAACCTCTAGCCGTTGTCAATTTAGAGAAGATGATTTTTTAAGTTTTTTCTAAATACATATAAAGAAAACCTATGACCCCCGGGGCGGGGCTCATTTTGACACTAGAGGCAAAATTTTAAACAACTTTGGTAGAGTACCTATAGATGATATCATATAACAAATATTAAAGCTGTAAGCCTTGTACCTTCAGACAATAAGATTTTTTTATTTTTTACTATTATGTGCATATTGAAAATCAATGACTCCTGAGGCGGTGTCAATTTTGACCCCATGGCTATAATTTGAACAATCTTGGTAGAAATTTACTACTCAATGTTTCATGCAAAATATCTAACCTCTAGCATTTGTCAATTGATAGAAGATTTTTTTTAAAGTTTTTACTATATAAATATAGGGAAAACCTATGACCCCTAGGGCGGGACTGATTTTGACACTAGAGGCAAAATTTAAATAACTTTGGTAGTCTACCTATAGATTATAACCCACAACAAATATCAAACCTCTTAGCCTTGTACCTTCAGACAAGAAGGTATTTTAAGTATTTACTATATGTACATAAAGTGAAAATCCATGACCCCTAGGGCGGGGCCAATTTTGACCCCCAGGGCTATAATTTGAACAATCTTGGTGCAGGTCTACCAGACAATGCCTTATGCAAAATCTCTATGTTCTAAGCCTTGTGGGTCTTTACAAGAAGATTTTTTTAATTTATTCATATAATTCCTTTTGGTTGCCATTGCAAACAGATTTCTGCATGGAATGAAATTCTTTGATCAATATTGGAAGCACGTTACCCAAGGATCAATCCTGCCAAGTTTGGTTGAAATTGGACTGGTGGTTTCACAAGAAGGTTTTTAAGTTCACTATATAATCTATAAAACACACGTACAAACACACACACAAACACACACACACACACACACACACACACACACACACACAGGTGAATCTCTATATGCCACCGCATCGCAGATGCTGCAGTGGCATAAAAAGTATGAACAATATTATATCCTTCTTATATTAAATCGTCTTTAATTCAGTAATAACAGAAAAAGTTATGTCAAACAACTTGTGTGTAGAATAGTTTCGGCTAATTGGCTAATTTATTCTATAATGAATTATACTTAACTGATAGTTTAAGAAATAAGTATAAAGAACAGCAATCATCTGGAAACAAGACGACATATATTCTGCAATTCTAACACGATTTTGTCCCTTATAATTTAGATCTAAGATAACTTAAACAAAATGATACTAATCTTCATAATTAAACAAAGCATGAATGGAACAAAACATTAAGAAGCGCTAGAAAAAAATGAAATGGTCAAATTATTCCTTTCTCTAATAATACTTACAAAGATTTCTATATCAAGAAACGGATCCGCTAAACTCAGTTTGCTATCAACGACAAAAACCCTGTACTGAACTGAAAAAAAATTTAAGTTAATGTTAAGCATTTTATCTTTTAGTTATTGCAATGTTACAGTTTGAAGGATTTCAGAATATAATTATTTTAAGCTTGAATGCTCTACTGTGTACATTCTGCAAAATTGATGACACTTAAACATATTCTTAAACTTAAACTAGTTGCAAATAGTTTTGACTGAAATAACGGTAAACAAACGTACGATGGCTTATTCCTGAATTGCATAAATTAGGTTAAGTCATACCAAAATGTAAGACTCCACGCAACAAAATTACCTCTATCCCCTGGCTTATACATAGCTTTGTCAGTCTGAATAAAAATAGCATTTTTCCGTCTTTGAAATGACACTGAGGTGGAGTTTTGAAAAGTTACAGGGCCAGTACCCGACACCTCTATCTCGTATCTTCCCCATGATGATATCGCTGGAATCTAATATCAAATATGACACGGCAGGTATTAAACCAAGAGAGTAGAGAAAATAACTCAGTTGTCCTCAAAATTTAACATGTAACTCTATTAATTTAGAATTGTTAAAGGAGAAGAGCTGAAACAAACTTTTCTTCATTGATAAGCACTACAATACAATATGTAACCGAGTGAAAATTCTGTTATCAGTCTTACTATGATGGCAATTTTCTTTTCAAAACCTATATCAACGCGGCTATAACTGTCAGAATATTATACATGTATTGTACAATACGAGAATACGCGCATACAGATGATATTTATTATCCCTCACTTTTTTATGTTAATTTCCATTGGCCACTGGGAGTATTTCTTACTGAAACAGCAAGTGTGCCATGTGACCAAGGAATTCGTACTATTACAGGATAACAGTACTTTTTAACAGTAAAAAATATCTGGTCACGTGTTTTTTTCAATTTGCAAGGTAGGTAAAGTTGAAGCGTTCTGGTTCCAATATAACATGTTGTGTAAATAAAGATAAATCCTACGTAGGAAATAAAGAGCCTAATTAGGGGTTTATAACTCCTACGTTAAACTTTATAAGTCCTACGTAGGGCTTTGTAACTCCTACGTAGGAGATAAAAAAAGCCTCATTAGAAGTTCATAACTCCTTCATAGGACGTTTAAACTCCTACGTAGGACTTTTTAACTCCTAAACAGGATTTTATAACTCCTGCGTAGGAGATAAAAAAGCCTACATTGTAATTAGGAGTTTGTATCTCTTACGTAGGACTTTATAAGTAGGACTTAACGAACACTTATAAAGTCCTACGTAGGAGTTAAGAACTCCTAATTAGGCTTTTGTATCTCCTATGTTGGAGTTAAAAAGTCCTAAGTAGGACTAATGAAGTCTTACGTGGGAGTTACAAAGTCCTAATAAGGTTTTATTTTCTCCTACGTAGGAGTTATAAACTCCTAATTAGGCTTTTTGTATGTCCAATGTAGAGCTTTTAAAGTTAAAGTGGCTCCAGGACGCTTCCGTTATTAGTTGAATTATTGTTGCACTTTGCTCAATTTTGTTGCAGTTAGATTAAGTTGAAATTTCAATGGTTTGTTCGGAGTAACAGAATTAATAGCACATGGATTTTCCAGTAACATTAAAAATATCATCACTCGTGAAAATGCTGTAACCCTCGGCTAACGCCTCGGGTAACAGTATGTTCCTTTGAATGATATTTTTACCCATAAATCATACATTGCGTAATAAAAAGAGCATCTAAACACGAGGTTATCTGATTTGTACAAGGGAAGCGTAGCCCCCGAGTATTAATCAGGCTGCCGAGTGTTTTGATGTTCTTTCTCTTTTGTATCATAGTCAAACATAAAAACACGTCCCCTGTTGTCACACTATGAGACCCCAGAAAAAAGTAACCAATGATTGAGCATCTGAGTATGATATTTCTATCACTACCCCTTTCATTGCGGTCACAATAAGTAAACACCAGGAAAAATGAGCCAATCAATGGGCAGGTTCTGGAGTGCGGGTAATTAATACCTGCACTCCAGGTAACGCGCTGTGGAAGTATATGTATATGATTTAACTCTGACGCATTTTCAACAGAAAGGTCCTAAAACTATGATTCAAATATGCAATGTTACATCAATACCACTCATATTTGAGTTTAAGAAATCATACAAAAAGTACAAAAATAATTTAGGACAATAAACTTACTAAGAATGTTTATTGTGTACCTCGGCCTTATATTTGTTAAATGTACACTAAGAAATGCTTATATATGTAATTAATTGTTTCAGTATTTTTCTTATTCTTTTTCAAATCTGGTTATTATGACATCTTTGGCTATGAAAACGTACAAAAGTACATACCGGAAGATATATTTTGGTGTCCGCCACCCCTGAAAATACGAATGATGAATCATTTGAATGAAATAACATAGTGAGAATTATAGATAATGACTTTAACCCAAGAAGATAAAGAATGGCATTTAAGAGCCTCAATTTAATTGTCGTTGTTTATGTCCAGATATGACAATACAAAAATATTGTCTGAGAAGAAAGGTTATTCTTTTTTTGTAAGTCTGAAACATCAATCTAGATGGTTATGGGACACGCGCCAACGTGATAAAGGATTACTTGCTCATGAAACCATGAAAAATAAAACCATGTGTCATGGAATGTGCCGATGTGATCATCACACCTGTATTGTGATACTGTAGTGATATTTCGTATGGAAAATGGTGAACGGTCTCCTAAAAAAAGCCAGGCTTAACTGTCAAGAGCCACAATGTACTGTTTAAGATTAATTGGATTTCAGTTTTTTTCTAAATATGCACATTATCATTATAATTTCATCTGGCAGTCATTATCTCATTTTATTCTAAAATGTATAAATACTGTGTAATATTTGCTATCTGTCAAAATACATGACAGAAGTTGGTTCTGTAGATAAATAGAGAAATTAAGGATCCAAAATGAAAGCCCAAAATGGAAAAATTGAAACTATTGCAGACTCGGTTTGACTGTGCCTGTTCATGGACGGTATTGTCAAGTGCAAACTACCGTACACGCCCCCTTGCACCGGCTTCAGCAGAATTCAACATTTAAACATGACATGGTAAAAATTTGACTTTAGGAACATCAAATAATCAAGTAACAAAATTAAAGAAGTCAGTAATACAATAATATAAATATCCTGTGTTAACATATTAAACTATTGCTTTGTTTACATTGCTATGTGGCTTATTAAATTAGTAACTTACTTCTAGGTACGTATTGAGTCACTACTGAACGTATCTTCCGTGTATAGTTACCATTTCCGTACCACGTTAGTTCGAACAGTTTTGCCGTCAGTCTTTCATTGGTTACAGGTTTTGCGAAAAGCACTTGGATAGTCGCATTGGTCCCTGCGCCAACATATGACGGAACTAGTGCCATATAAGTGTACTTAGAGTTTTGTCTTTTAGCAAATTTTATTCTAAAAAATAAAATGAAACGTGGCATAAAAGATGTTATGTACAACATAAATATTAAAATTATTTATGGTCATATTTCTTGTTTTAATTTATATGAAGATGTTTTTGTGAATTTAAGGTTTATCATATCATTTAGGAAATTCTTAACATCAGCGGCTTCTGAAAATAGAAACTCTTGTCATGTAAACATTGACGTGACTATCAAAGTTATTGGTTACGTAATCGTTTTGTTTTAGACAGATCCCTATTCTCTCCATTTCCGCTATAATAAATACACATAACACATAATTATATATAGGAAATTGTCTCATGACGTTTTAATCTTTTATGTTAATATCCTGTACAAACTAATGATACAAACAGGGATATAAAAATAAAGTAACAGAGCAAGTAATAAAGGACATACTCTCCGCTATCGACCATGGACATAGTCAATAGAAAGAGCCCTGCTGTGTGAAGCAGCATTTTCTCTAATTCTGCACAAGTCTCAATGATACTGAAAAAAAAACATAAATATTTTCTTGATTGATGATTATATCCAAAATGAATTAGTCATTTTTGTCGACACTTTTTTACAAAAGCATTCGAATCAGTAGTAAACCAGGAGAGTAATGACAGCAATTGAATTCGTAAAACATGTTTGATTTTTCTTTTTGTTTATGAAGTGATTTTTTAAAACACTTCAAAGACCACTAAAACTAGGTTGATCTGTACTTCAAAGTCAGTATTTGTTTAACTGGACGCTATGACATAAAATCATAACAACTGTATCCGTTTGAGAAGTCTTTTCAGTGACCATCTATATTTATAATTTGTATAATTTTTACAGCTTTAAAACCGGACAAAGGCACACAACGTTGTAGTGCCTTTCTGTATTTCTATAACCTGGATCGGAATTTTTTGAAAAAAGTAAAACATGTACGTTTACGCATGATAATTCGAGGAACAAATGCGTTTTCATCGACAGCACTTATTTTAGAGCAGAGAGTCATTGACATTAATAAGATCAAATAAACAATTTTACAGCACTGAAATACGTTAAATTTAAATTTATGTAATACTTCGTTCGTCTTTTATATAGGTATAGAAATACATCGAACAATGAAATTTTTAAGATCAATCAACACGGCAAAAATTGTATTAGTTGAAGTTTGTTTTATTCGAGTCTTACCATGTACAATACTGGTTAACACATTAAATCATAATTTTAATGAATAAAAAGTAAACCTGGCAGTTCAAAACCCGTACATTTAAGTACCTATGCTGGATTGCGTGAGTAAATATTCGGTCACAGCGCAAATATTTTTCAAAATGGCTTAACCGTTGTCATAAAATTATTACCAAACATATTTTACAGAATGATTGTAAACAAATTGACTTTACGACTTTATAAATTAGATAGAGAATATTATTTATGAATATATGCTTTAAGTTACATAGTTTCCCTTCAGTGCATTAATTTTGATAGCTCATGTGATTTCTTAACGAGAACCAAAAATAAAAAATCATGTTTCGGGAGAACAAATATAATTCCTGTTTATTAAACATATTTATATGGTAGAACTGCATAAGTTTTTGTTGTATTTGTAAAAAATATTCTTATACAATTTTGAAATAACATAATGTGCATTGAATGAAGCTATATATTAGGTAATGTGCACATACCTTTGCTAATCCCCTTTGATAAATAATGTTGTCAAATGTTAATATCTATGAACGACTAAAGTATCAACTGGTGTGTGCCCAACATAAATGTGTCTTTATAAACGTAATGTGAACCCCAAACGTGACTCCCAGGAACCATTAACATAATAACACACACAAAAATAAACCAAATCCGGTTATTATCGATCATTATTGTCGCTATTATATAAAATTTGCAACTCTGCATAAAACATAAAAGACCAATGAAATGTATATATTATTTTGTGGCTTAAATGTATACAATTTACATTCCTGCGTATATTTTATCTGTAAAATTAACTTTCGGACATCATTTTCGTACATAGCATTTAGAGCAGATGAATAGGCATTTCCAAAAACAAATATTTGTTTTTCAACATATGTAACAAAATCGGACATCGTCTTGTTACAAAGAATGTAAAAAAATTGTGCTTACAATTTTATCATTATGTCGACCGACTGTGATTGACAATTGAATCGACTATAATGATAAAGATATAACTAAAGGATAATTGAATATCAATAAGGAATATTACTATATTTACTAATGAAATATTCAAGAAAGAAAATTTGAAATTTCTTACTTCCAGTTTACTGTTTTCTCTGTGTCTGTCTAATGCCGAACATAATATGTACATTCCTGATCAAAAAGCACATTAATATTGAAGATGTGCTTATCTGGGATTGTTATATAAACATGCATTCTGGATATGTATTAATGAATAATTATAATGACAACAATGTTGAATCTATAGAGTTTGTTTTGAACAGATCTTGTTCTCAAAGAAATATGATGTCGATACAAAGTATTGGATGCAAAATATAAATAGCCTCTTTCCTTTTTGTTTCTTGTTATATGTAGGGGCATAATTGAGTTAAATATCATCTAACTATTGTAAACATCATGAAAACTTTAAAAGAAAGCAAAAAATTCAATAAAAGAACAGTGCTTCTTATAAGGCAACATTTTGAAACAAATTATTCAAACTGTAGCATTCAGATTTAATTAATGACGAAAATTAAAGAAATATATAATGAAAATAAACGAAAAGGTCTTTAGCGCAGACATATAATAGATTTATTGATAATTATATTCATATAATGAAAATCCGAGCTCCTTGCAAGAACACGTTCTTTTACAATGAAAATCCTTGTTCTTATTAACTATCAGATTGCAAAACGTGAAAGCCAAAACACATTCATTTCTTGGCCGTGCAATGAAAAAAACCATTTAAAAATGTCCAACAAAATAACCATATCGTGCTTAATGTTAAGGTCAAAAGTAAGTATAAAATAAGGACTACTGATGATCAAGTTGTTATATATTTAAAGTTGTTTACATGATTGTGGAATCATTTAAGTGGTTCAATTATTATCATATACAAATAGCTGAGCCCACTTATGCTCACTTATAAAAAAGTGCTTATTTGTATCCAGACAGTTGGGTGACATGATTGAATGATAACATCTAAAAACAGTGAAATACTAGTTATATTCATCCGCAAATAGTTACATATGACACTCCTCTGATAACATTTTTTGTCCGTTTATGACAAGATATGATACTACAAATGCTGAACTTTTCCCTATTTTTGTCTATTTAAGTTCGATTTTGAGTAGGAAGCTTATAGACACATTTTGGAATCCAATCCTTGAACCAACCAGTACAAGTGTAACTACAGAAGTGTGAATATCACCTGAAATATTAGGAATGACATCAAGATGATGTTACTATAATATCATGATTTTCTCAATCTCAAACAAACTAGCTTCTTGAATACGCAAAGGATTGATAACAATTTCATACTAAAAATGTCCATGCTTTGCTTTCATCGTTTCGCTTCATAAAATGAACGGTATATGATGAATAATTTATAATATTTTTACCAAGGCCAAGTTAATATGTACTGACAAGCTGTTAAAATTTTGATATATCATAAGCTTGAGAGAGAGAACAGCTGCTGCATTAATTTGTAGAGTAATGTATGATATGATATGTTCATAGCGTTTATGCATGTACACACTACAATGCAGTATTAATGGGATTATCAATGGATTTCGTGAATATCCCGGTATTAACTCATATTCACCTCATCAATTTGAAAGATATTTTGCATGATTGTTACTAAGGAAATTAATATTAGTTATTGTATATAGTCATCATTTTGTAAATAGCTTAAGGACATATCCTTCAATTTAATAACATAAGAAGATTTGTTGTCCTTTAAGATCAAAGGAACATATATGTAATAAAAAAGCTTTCATAACGCAAAAATCTAATGTGAATATACCGAAAGACCTTGTATTTCATAGCAACAAAAGCGGCAACATTGTTAATCATAAGGATATTCGTATACGCACCAGTGACTAACGGATGCATAAAGGACAGGTGTGTCAAATTTGAGCTTCTTGGCACTGATCACGTAGACTGGTCTTTAATCTAATGAACTTGATATTGGTCATGTAAACGAGTACATTTTGACCTTTTTCAAGTTAAGGCTGCTTAACTGCTCTTACACGGTACATGTATGTTTGTCAGAAAATTTACCAGGACTTTCTTTTTTCTCCTAAGTACACATGTCACTGCACCGGATTATAGATTTTCTTGCCTTCTCTTCTAAGGCCGCGTTTACACCTTTTCAAGTCTTGCATGCAAGTATCATATTCTCTCGTCTTGCATAATGTAGACACCCTACTTGAATCATTTTAACGAGAAAATACGTGACATCCATTAACATAATTCCTTGCAAGCAACTTACAGCTAGAGCTGGCACAAACTATCTTCTAAAACTGTCTTGTCGTACAGAGCATTATAAATACTGCATATTCTCCTTTATCTGAAATTCTACCGAATAATAACTACTTTTGTAACATGAGTTCTCCTGATAGAATCTTAAAATAAGAAAATATTTCCAAATGTCTTTACACGCTTACTTAAAATACAATGTAACTCACATGTAAATTGTAGTAAACTTTTGCATTTTGTAAGTATATGTTAAATTTTTGTTCGCAATATTTAAACCAGCACAACAGATTAATCGGATAATGTATATCCGTTACATGTTGTATTACATTTTTACTGAGATTAATATTTTGCTTACTTTATCGTATTTTTCATAAATGTTTGCTTTTCTGAAAAATAACATACATCTTATAAATAAAGAGGATAATTTGTAAAGTCATGTAATACTTTATTCTTATTATGCTCCCCTTTAAAGATGATGCCATGTGCTTATTTTACAATGCTGTTATATTGTTCGTTATTCACTCCAGTACTTTATTGTGTTGAAGACTGGATACTGTTTCGAATACTGCATAAACCGGTGCAGGGGGAGTGAGAGATATAATCATTTTACTAAATGCTCTTGTGTCGTAAAAAGGCGAAATAATTTATTACTATTCTATTAATTCCTTAAAACACTTGCTCTTTACACTGCTAGATTTGTTATTGTCGTAGATTACGTGATAAACTTAATGGGTTATCTCTCAATAAATTTGTGTTTGCTACAGTGAATTAAGCTCCAGTTTATTCAGTTTTTCATTTAATGCTTCATAACATGCCAGATAATGCACAGTCATTCATAATATTGAATGTGTTATGTGGAATTCGACGCATACGGCCAAAAAAGATTCGCGGTTTTATAACGTTACAGATAGAACAATTAGGTAGATTTCCTTTGATCTCTAAGAAAAAATCAGGATCAGGATCAAATGATAATGATTTAATTTTCATTGTTTCATAAAACTAAAATGTATTAAATGATACTTATTCAAACTGTAAAAATTGCTGATTGGCATAGAAACGAATTTTGAGATGAACTCGACAAATAAAACAACAAATACAAAAATAATCGAATCAAAATAAGACTCAACGTTAGGATCAAGATCAACATTTTGATCAACTGTAAAATTCCCGTTTCTTGCAAAAAAAAAAAAAAAACAACAACAAAAAAACCCCAATATATGTATTCTAAAATTTCATAAACATGCCATTTTAAGCTAAAATTTTATCACGTTGGTATTAAATATTTAATCTATGAGGATAAACAATGGAGAATACTTGAGTTTTTAAACTTGATCCTGATCCTTAAATCTTTGAGAACACGTAGCCTGTTTTTTAAACATAATCTTTAATACTCAGATACCAACTGTCTGTTTTGATTGGTCACCCATATCATCCTGTTTTGTCTAGAAGTATTCTGAAAGATGTCCTTAATTTAAGCTTTGAAATTTATTTAGGGTATTTGAAAGTTTTTTTTTGTCATTTGATATAAACTTTGAATTTATACTTTTTAAAAATATGTTTTTCCACTTCTTTTAATTCTTATTTTGTTGAAAAAGAAAACAATTGGTACTTTAAAAGCACATACATATTTATCATATTAGTAATATTATCGCACAGATATATTGTTGAAGATGGTATTTTTTTTCTAATATTGATATATTACCTGATGAATATTATATTGATAATTATTAATTACCATGAGTTTGTAATTCAAATGTACCTATAAATATTTTGAACGCTATTTTAAATCTGTTAATAACCCGAAATATATTTTTTTTGTTCCAGATGAAGACATTGTACGTTTTATGGAACGTTATGAAAATAGTTATGTTTGATGAATTGAACGTACCTTTTAATTAATTTAATCAGTTAAACAATTAAAGTTAAATGAAAGTGAAGGTCCTGATTTATATTTAGTAAAGATACATTGGTGATATTTATATTGTCTCTGTTCAATAGAATTTATGAGTTAGGTTATTTTCCAGACAGTTGGTGTGAGGTTTTTTTGTGCCATTACACAAGAAAGGTTCAATAAATGACTTCATAACTATAGTGAATTGGGTTTCATAGACACATGGATATTTCAAACAGTTGGTGATATTATACGTCAAACAAAGAATAAGAGACCAGTTTTTTTTCAAAAATGGAATGATAGACTAAATATAGAAACATAATTAATTTGTTTTGAATCTAAACTATATTGCTTTTATGAACTCTGACAATGATACTATCATAAAACGTCTTGCATGTTATATTAAAAAGCTTAAAGTGTTACGAACAATACTATTTTCATTCAAACGTAATTAAGGTGTATGAAACTTTGTGAAC